CTTCTTTGTCATGTTTATTTGCTCTGTGGGGCCTGGGAAGAGGGACACATGCCAAGAAGGTGGCAGGATAACTTTCAGGAGTCACTTGTCAGTTCTCGCCTTCCACCATGTGGGCCCCAGGAATCACGCCCAGGTCATCAGGCTTGGTGGTATAAGTCTTTACCTGCCGAGACGTCTCACCAGAACTTTTATTTTTTTATTCTTCTCTCAGTCTAGCTAAGGTTTTGTCAATTTTCTACATTTTTTTCAGAAAAAAGATCTTTGTTTTGATTTATTCTATATATAGCTTTTCTACTTTCTATTTGGTTTAATTGTATTTAATTATTTTATTATTTCATTCCTTTTGCTAACTTTGGGTTTTGTTTGCTCTTTTTCAGTTTCTTAAGTGAAATACTAGGCTGTTTGATACCTTTCTTCTTTAACATAGGCATTTATAGCTATACAATTCCTTCTTAGACCTGCTTTTGGCTCTTTCTCAAAAGTTTTGGTACACTGTGTCTCCATTCTCATTTGGCTTAACATTTTGTTGTTGTTGTTATTGTTGTTGTTGTTGTTGTAGTTTTTGAAACAGGGTCTCCCTGTACCCCAGCAGGCCTGGAACTCGTCATACAGACCAGGTTGGCCTGGATCTCACAGAGACTCGCCTGCCTCTGCCTCCGCCTCTTAAGTGCTGGGATTAAAGACGTGCACCACCATGCACTAGCTTAAGATATTTTTTAATTTCCATTTTTTTTCTTTGACTGACTGGTAGCTTAGAAGTGTGTTTAATTTCTAAATATTTATAATTTTTCTTGTTTTCCTCATGTTACTGCTTTCTAGTTTCACGCCATCGCTGTGACAAAAGATATTTGACATGATGTCGATCTTTCTAAATTTGTTCAGATTTGTTCCATGGTTTAATATAGGATCCATCCTAGAAAATTATCCATATACACAGGCAAAGAAGGTGCACTATGCTGTGTGCAGGGCAATACTCTGTGTATGTATGTTAAGGTTCATTTGGACCGGTGTGCAGTTCAAGTTCAATCCCTTTATTGATTTTCTGACCTACCCTCAAAGAGAGTGAGGTACTGAAATCTCCCACTGTTCTTGTATTTTATCTCCAGTTCCCATCACAGTGAATAACTGCTAAACATATTTAGGGACTCTGATATTGGATACATATATTTACCACGGTAACATCCTCCTGATAATTAGACCCTGTGAAATTTCATGTTCAATTATCTCCATGCAATTCACAGCCTCTATAGCCAAAGCTTATAACTGCCAAGAAATCTTCCCCTTATCTCTAAAGACTGCTTGGTGTCCTCAGGAGAGTTCAGGAATTCAACTTTGTTTCTAAGAGCTAGGCTTCTCACCAAGGTGAACAGGGTCTGAAAGATTAAATGTGCCTGTTTCTAATCTTCATATTCAGAATGAAAGCACCAGGCACCCAACTGCTGATCTTCTGAGGCCCCCTAGCGCTCAACCTGCTGACACTTCAGCTGACATTTCCGAAATGCCTATGTCTGACTAAATTAATTATGGAATTAATCTGTAGCCCATTTAAAAAGAAAATTCCCTTGGGGGAATCAACGATACAGATGAAATATAATAGATCGGTAATAATGCAATTTGAATCACTTTAAGCCAACTTTCAGAAGACAAGACCAGGAACATCCCAAGCAATATTTAATATGACTACCAGCTTTCAGAATTATGCCAACATTCCATTTAATTTACTCCTTGATCGAGTTAAAGTATCAGTGCATCACAGTACATGGTCTGGGTTCAATCCACAGCACCACAAAAAAAGGAAAGAAAAATAATGTCACATTTGTAATCCCAACACTCAGAAAGTTGAAGCAGGATGAATTGGAGGCCAACCTGGGTTACATAATTAGACCCTTTCTTTGAAAACAATAACAACATTAATGTGTTTCCATATAATACTTAAAATACTGAAGGCTTTCAATGACAATACATTATGATCAAATCTTTTTTTGTTTTTTTGAGACAGGATCTCCATATGTACCCCTGGCTGGCCTAGAACTTGTTCTTAGACCAGGCTGGCCTCAAACTCAGAGATATGCCTGTCTCTGCCTCCTGAGTGCTGGGATTAAAGGTGTTCACCACCATGGTGGCTGATTGTCTTTTATCTGAAGAATTTATTCCTTCTGAACTTTAAAAAATGAAATTTGCCAGGCGTGGTGGCACATGCCTTTAATCCCAGCACTCCAGGGGCAGAGGCAGGCGGATCTCTGTGAGTTCAAGGCCAGCCTGGTCTACATAGTGAGTTCCAGGACAGCTGGGGCTACAGAGAGACCCTGTCTCAAAAAGACCAAAAATAAAAAATAAAAATTAAAAACTATACAACAGTTATACAAAAGTATACAAAACTAGGTGTGGAGTATACACTTTAATCCCAGCACTTGGGAGGCAGAGGCAGGCACATTTCTATGAGATCCAGGCCAGCCTTGTCTATGTAGCAAGTTCCAGGCCAGCTGGGGTTACGGGGAGACTCTGTCTCAAAAAAAAAAAATCAGAAAAAAAGTCTACACAAGACAGTAACAGTTAGTCTAGCTTCCAGACTTTCATAGTATTTAGCCTATATCACTATAACAACGGTCATACTTATCATAACATTCTTCAGTGGCATCTTTTTTACTCATTGTCTCTGAAAAACATGTTACAAATGGTGTAACACATGGTAACTAGGTGCTCAAGTCTGCAAACAGTAAAGTTTTCTTTTTTATGTATGGATGAGAACCTATTCCTGAACCTACTACCAACCCTCCATCCCTGTCCATTCTCTATGCTCCTGGGTACATCCACAACATTGCTATTATCTTAATGATGCTGGAAAGAAACTCTTCATCCTCTGAATACCTCTCTTCTCCTGTCCCCTCCTCAGACTGTGGGAGACTTCACTAACTGCAAAGATTAGGCAAAGGGTCACTGAACGTGCCTCTCTGGCTTCTTATTGATGACAGGGTCTCATATAGGCCAGGCTAGCCTCAAATTCTCAATTCCCCTGCCTCAGCTGACCAAATGCTACGATTATAAGTATGTGCCACCAGGCCTGGTTAGACAATCTCTCTTCCCAAGTACAAATAACAGCCTGTTCCCACAGAGTGAGGACTACAAGCTGACAAACTGTTTTGGGGGGTAGTTGGTGAGTTTAACAGAGTAAGAGAAAAATATGCCACACTTTCTGATACTGGTCATAAACTAACATTATAATCTCTGAGTTTAGCATCTCCATCTAAATTGTATAATAACTTATTACTCCAACAATATAAACTAGACAAGATTTAGAATTTTCTGTAATAACATCACTCTGCTTTTCTGCGTTCTGAGCAGGAGGAAAGGCAATGGAGCATTCCCTTGAAGTGTCATTCCCTGCACCCTGTACAATGACAAAAGCCACAGCCTATGAGAATACAACACACATTTATGGCATGCACCGAATGTTTATTGTCTTATTCTTTAGCTCACATGGATGTATCTTTATTTTCAGGAGAGAAAAATTTTGCCTGAACATACACATTAAGTCTTACTGAATATTGTCTTTGTCACTCATCATATAAAAGTTAAGGTTGCCGGGCGTGGTGGCACACACCTGTAGCCCCAGCACTTGGGAGGCAGAGGCAAGCAGATCTCTGTGAGTTCAAGGCCAGCCTGGTCTACATAGTGAGTTCCAGGACAGCTGGGGCTACAGGGAGACCCTGTCTCAAAAAAAAAAAAAAAGTTAAGGTAATTTAGCTGGTGTGTTGACACACACCTTTAATCCCAGCACTCAGGAGACAGGGGCAGGTGTGAGTTCAAGACCAGCCTGGTCTACATAGGGAGTTCCAGGCCACCTAGGGCTACAGGAAGACCCTGTCTCAAAAACACCAAAAAAAAAAAGTTAAAGTAATTTCATATGCTAAATGAAGTGGCTCTTGCTATTAGCAAAAGATGTAGAAAATGAATGCAATTAGTAGGTTAAAGCCTTTTCTTTAGTTCAAAAACATATCCAAAACTTTTCATACTAAGCATTCTTTAGATATATTTTAAATTATACCACAAAGCTGTATAGAACCTATGAAATTTTGTGAATAAATATGTGCTTTTGGATTGGCTTATAAGTAACTTTTCTACTGTGGATTTCCGCTTTTTTTTAACTTGACATCTGGCACATGCACACATTCATGTACACACACACACACACACACACACACACCTGGCATCTAAAGAATTTCACAGCTAGCATGCAGCATCTACCTCATGCTCACAAATCATATCACTCACCACTGACTGTAGTCCCAGAGCATAAATCTGAGTTCAAACAATTCAATGGCATCTATATACTCCCTATCACTGCTCAAGAACTACATGTAAGACAACTACAACTTTACCCCCAGTCAAGTTAGTTTCTGTGATGCATTCCCCCCCCTTTTGTGAATTATCTTAAGACTATTTATTGGCATGGATTTCATACCCAACTGGTAAAGTTAAAAAAAAAAAGTGGTTAACCTTGTAATACTGCAGGGTGACCCCTGTCTGCCCAGTTAGAGGAAGGACAGTCATCACAGAGTATGACAGACCTGTGTTCAACCAGAACACCAATATGTGTAAACCTGGGCAGCAGATGGAATTTCTATGATCTTCGGTTGTTCATTTGAAATTATAGAGGATGCCTAGCTGTGATGGCACACACTTGTAATCCAAATACTGGCATGGCAGGAAGATCAGGAGTTCAAGACCAGCTTTGTCTAAATAGTTAAGTTCAAAGCCAGCCTGGGCTACATGAAACTCTGTCTTTAAAAAAAAAAAAAGATCAAAGAATTTACAGAGGAAAAACCTTATCTTTTGGAGTTCTGAACTAAGAGAAAAATATGTAAGACAGCAGGTTTTCAAAGAATTACAGCTGTGCTAATCACTCTTAACATTACTTCTAACAGATGAAGTTCACCTGGGATACATTACATTGCTACATTTGTTTTTAAAGGCTCATGTTCAGTTTTAAGTTAACTTACCGAGACAGGAGTATAAACCCTGACTTATCCAAGCTAATATGGCCAGAGTTATAAGGTCCCCAAAGCTAGCAGCAATGGGTGTAGCCACGTTATCAGGATTTATACCTGTCTTCTTTGAGCCAACGATAACTCCAACCATTATTATTCCTAGAAGAAAGAACATTCATTACTTTTTATGCTGATTCAGAATGAATTTCCCCCAATACTGAAATAAATAGCCTTGATAAGAAGCAGGTCAGTTCCATTAGACTGACTGGATAAACTGATGAAACAAACGAAACATTTTACTGTAACGCCTTGGCAAAAATGCCCTTCAGCAAAGTCCAAGGGACCACAGAACATCAGAGTCCATTGTTTATTTACTGTAAAATTAAGTTAAAACTAAAATTCTGAATTTAATATGGCATATGCTTTAAATGTGATGCATGTGTATCAAACCAAAGATTTTAATTTTAACCCTTGAAGCATGAAAACGCTAAAGAGAGGTAAGTTGTATTTATATGCATAGCGACAAAAACAAATTCACTCATATATGTTAGTTTAAAATGCTTGCTTCATCTTATCTGAGGTGCTGAAGTATTAAGAAACAGAAAGCAACCAGGCGTGGTGGTGCATGCCTTTGATCCCAGCATTGGGGGATAGGGGGGCAGCAGAGGCAGGCAGGCAGATGTCTATGAGTTCAAGGCCAGTCTGGTCTACATAGTGAGTTCCGGGACAGCTGGGGCTACAGGGAGACCCTGTCTCAAAGAACAAAAAACAAACAACAAAAGAAACAGAAAGTAAACCAGGTATGGGGGGGGGCACACCTTTAATCCCAGTAGTCGGGAAGCAGAGGCAGGAAGATCTTTGTGAGTTCAAAGCCAGTCTGGTCTACATAGAGTTCCAGGCCAGCTAAGGCTACAGAGAGACACTGTCTTTAAAAAAAAAAAGGCAAGAAGTAATTAAATTTTGAATACCAGCATCCAAAACACAAGAAACAGTCTTTATAAAAGATACTCTTTGGGGCCAAAAAGATAGCTCAGTAGTTAAGAGCACTGGCTGCTCTTGCAGAGGACCCATGTTCAGTTCCCAGCACCCACATGGTGGCTCACAACTGTTTGTAACTTTAGTTCCAGGGAATCAGATATCCTCTTCTGGCCTCGGTGAGCATGACATGTATATGGCACATATACATACATTGAGGCAAAACACTCATTCACATAAAATAAAAATAGATCTTTAAGAATAAATAAATATACACATTATTTGACCAAAGATGGTGGCACAGGCCTGTAATTTCAGCACTCTGGCAGCAGAGGCAAGAAGATCACTGCAGGTTCAAGACCAGCCTGGTCTACATAGTAAGTTCCAGGTCACTCAGGTCTATATAACAAGACCTTATTTCAAAAAAGAAATTTTTTTAATGTTCTTTAGCTCAAGTTTCTACCTATAAATCTATAATAACAGAAGATGAAAACGTGACTTCTTGCACTTTTAAATCTTTAGTTTCTTGAATCAGACAAAAGGAAAAAATGAAAACATCTCTCTTCACAGCCGACTGTACAGATCTCCTCATGCCAGCACATTCATTAAGAGGAAATAGTACGGACAAAATAAGAGAAAAAGAAAGGATGCTGTACCGAGCAACAGAAAATGCATCGTTTATGTGCTAACCATATGTCAATCTGAAGCCTAAATGCGGTTATGGAAAAGAAATAAACAGCATCTCACCACACTTTTAGAGCAAAAATGAGCATTCCAGCATGCTCATTTTATGGGTAATAAATGGAGGTTCTGGGGTGTAGGGTTTAAATTCTTGCCTGAAGCCACACAGTTTATGATTCAAGACCAGTGTACTGTACTATAGCTCATAAAGTCTAAACTGTAAGTAGTAGCTCGCATGCAGCAGCGTCTCACGTCTTATAACCAGGAGACTTTCCATCACCAAATCTATTTTCATAACAGCATTAGAAAAAAAGAAAAGAAAGCTAGAGTAGTTGGAAAATTTTCCCGTGATAACTGAAGATGGGGTTATACTGAGATATTCTCCCCCAGTTAAGCACATCTTAAGCTCTTCATAGGAGGTTCTCTTAGGATCATGCCATTTCTGTCTTTCCATGTGAAACAAAACACTTTACATGGACCATGCAGAGTAGGCAGTGCTGAGTACAGGAGACTGAGGTTTTCATTCTGATTCTGCAACTAACAAGATGATGTATTAGACAAGATGCCTGACACCTGTGTCAATTTTCTCACCTAAGAAGTGTAGTTTACATGTTTTAAAATGGTTTAAAAGATCAAGTTACCATAGAATGCACATTAAGATGTTTTACTTCTTTTCTGTTTCTGTGTATGAGTATATTGTTTGCATGTATGCAAGTGCACCCATGTCATGCAGTGCCTGAGGAGGACAGAAGAGGGTGTTAGATCCCCCTGGAACTGGAGTTAATAGTTGTTGTAGGTGCTGGGATTCAAACCCAGGTCTTTTGCAAGAACAGCCAGTGCTCTTAACTGCTGAGCCATCTCTCCAGCCCCCAGGAAGAAGTGTTAAACAAAAGCATTTTTAAAGTTATATTTATTTGTTTGTGTGTGTTTTTTTTATTCATGTGTCAGAGGGTATCAGATCCCCGGAGCTAGAATTATAGGCTGTCATGAGCTGCCTGACCTGAGTGCCAGGAACTGAACTTGGGTCCCCTAGAAGAGCAGCCGATGCTCTTAATCATTGAGCCATCTCTCCAGCCCTAAACAAAAGTATTTTAAAAATCTGAATTTTGGGTAGTTTGGAAAATCATAGATATTTCAAACACTTGATATACTGAATTTAAAAAAATTTTTTTATTTATTATTTTTATTTTATATGTATGCATGTATTGCCTGCATGTAGGTAAGTGCACCCAT